ACTAAGGGACAGTGTTCATAGGTACATTTCACTAACCTTATTAACTGGGATGGCTTTATGAGGCATGGATTTTGCTTTATTACCAACTGAGCAACTATATTTTTGCATAATCTTTTGCAAATTCTTGGAGTGCTAATAACTCAAATGCTAATAGTTTTTGCAAAAATATGCATTATTCCCTTTCCTTTGGGAACCCTTTATTGGATTCCCACAGACTATTACATAAAATATCAGCTATATTAGGTTTTACATATAAATCTTCTTGGAGTCCTGAAAGTACAGCAGACTGACAGAATTTCAGAAATATGGACGTCTTGTAACTGAGCTGCTAATATAGAAAATCTTTCATAGACCTGGATAAAGCAGAATATATATACAAAAAAAAAAAGCATAGGATGAGGTTACCCATGAAAAATGAGCTTAGACCTGCCCAACTGCAACCTTCCAGTTCTCCTAATTGGTCTGTAAAGGTGAAGATGGCCTTACTAATCAATCAGGAGGGATAAGGGGTGGAAAAGGATGGGGCAAACCTTTGTTTTGTTGTCAAGATCTATGGATCTACTGTTCTGTGTGTTTTTTTAAGAGACTTGAGTCCTAGTAGTTTATTGATCTGCACAGACATGCAGCAAAAAGCATGATTTCTGGAGGGTACAGTCACTCTTCATCAGCTGTAACCACTGGGGCCACTCTCTTCTTCATGTTCAATTGACACTGATGCATTCACAATTTCTCATAAGCAATGCATCAAAAAAGGTATTGGAACCTTTTTTTGTTAGGAATGCAATTACAAATTTCTATTACTCAGGCACTCAATTCTTCAATAGTTTGAACCTGGTGTGGATCACCATAATGGCTCAGCAAAATAATTTAATTTGGGGTCAATTGAGAGAATTGAAAGACTACTGTCTTGCAGTCTACTGTCTCAGCTGGGTTTGCTATTTATCTAGTGATGCCTTCACTATGAGGTTTTATGTTATTTTTTGGAAAGAAATGCATGTTTCCACTGTGTTTATGAAGTGCTTGATTTAAGGGTTTTAAGATTCTATTGAAATTACATATTTCTATCATAGTGCACTATACAGCTTGTAATAATGACTGTCTTATATACTTTGTACCCCAAAACTATCACTCTAAGACTAACTGATGTGTTTTAAATTCCTCATTTGTTCAACCATTTTTTCTTTCTTTAGAAATGCGGTCTTCAGTCCAACTGACTCAAAGCCAGATCCCGTCACATAACTTTTTGCGAACTCGATTTTCCAACTCATCCAAATTAGTACTATATCCGTACCACAGTCAAGTTAACTGTGGCACAGCTGATGGACAACAGCAATAGTTTTAAAAAACAATTGACCCACCAGTGTGTCAGTACTGTCATAGATCAGGGTTACAGCTGATCTGTTAATTTTAGCTCTACTAATGTGCTTTACAGATCTGCAGCTAGCTGTTTTGTTGCCTGTGGTTCCACTGCATGTGCTTTGTTCCGACCTTGCTGTCGCACTGGTCTATCATCTTTAGGCGTTGTTAGATCTCACCTGCTGATTCTTATGCAGCCTCTTAGCCAATCAGTGTCCATGTTTGCTGCCAAAGCTGCTATTCTTGTTGCTGTTCCGTGTACTAACTTGACTTGTTCCTGTTAATCCTTGTCTGCTGCCCGTCCTGACATTGGCTTTTCTCCTGGGACCCATGCCTGCCACCTGCCCCAATCTTGGGCTTATCTCCTGGTGTTTTTGGTCCACAGCTTGCCCTGACCTCTGGTCTTGCCTCCCGACTACCACTGTCCGCCGCTAGCTGAGTAGGGCCAACCTGGGGGCCCAAATTGGGGTCAGCACACAGCAAAATCTATCTCCACCATCAGGAGCTCTAGTGAATACCAGCTGGGACTTAGACTCTACATCCTGGGGGATCCCATGTTACCTACTCTGCATCAAGGCATTCTGCCCTGTCTGGACTTCGTCATCCTTCAGTCTGCTGAGCCCAGCTCTAAGTTGGCCTACACTACCTGCACCTCTCTTGCCACCCTAGGTGCCCCACAAGTGTATCCAGCGTCAACATCCTGACATAGGGTCCGGATCCTGAGACAGTGTTTGTTTGCTTAAACTGGACTGTGGTCATTTATCATGACATAAAATCCAGTTTAATATTATGATCTTTACATTCTGTTGCACTTGTGATGTTTCACGAGTTAACTTCAGAAATGTGGTAGAGTATCCTAAATTCCACCAACAAAGCTCAAGCTACAACAGGGGGTCAGTAACTAGCCCATGATGATCTGCAGATTCTCAAAAGTCTTCCAATTAAGCCTCTTGTCAATGGCTAACATAAACAACACTTTGTGGAGGCTGGAAAACCAGAGCCTTTTATATAGCATGTTGTAAAGACAGTTTAAAACAATACACATCCTTTATAGTTAACCTGAAGTTTGACACCCAGAACTCAAAATCTAGTCACATTCCATTAATATTAATATGATAAAAATTACATACATAATGAGTGTCTACCTGAATGTAAAAGTAAATCACAATTAATTTGATACCAGATGTGCATATGCCATAATGTACAGAAGGCTGATGTGCAATTTTAGTTCTCCAATGAAGTACATCTGCACTGTTGTAGGGGGGTATAAATAATAATTCTATAATGTATGTCTTCAACACTCTTCTGATAAGTGTGTTAATAAACTTCTTTGCTATTCCATCATAAGATAGAGGTATTACCAAATAACAAAACTCACACAGGGATCAGAAAAGACATTGAATCATTGACTGAACAACCCCCACAGTGGTATTTTTTTCTGACCTATGGGTACTGTGAGACAGATCCGGGATCCTTCTCTCACCAGATGTGTCTTCCATAGTCCTAAGATGAACAGCTAATGCAGTACTATGGAAGGTGTTGCTACTACAGTACCTGCTTTGTATATATTAGAAATCAATGTTGTCACATAAGAACTTTAAAAACTGGATTTAACTTCAAGCTTAAAAAGAATTTCCCACTTTTTGATCCTCTGACTTAGCACTCTCCCACCAGAGTGGTGACTTTCTCAAACGTTCAAGCACATTGATTAACCAAAGCATAATAAAATCCCCCCCACAGTTAAACTTGATCAAGGGCTCCTTAATGGCTTCAGTGTTCCACTGTTTGGGACAGTTTCTCAGAACTGCTCAGTGACATGAGCAGGATGAAAGTAAATAAACCTCCCAGGGTTTGGTTTATAAATCACACCAAGTCGCTTTGATATGTACTAGTTTCTTAGTTAATAATTAACACCCTATTTTAAAGTGAAATCATATTTTTAATTGAGAGATTGGCATTGCGTGTCTGCCCAGTTATCCTACAATTCCAATACAAGCCTGTATATGCCAACACAATTCCATTTGCTTCTAACACATATATAAACAGAAAAGTATATGATTTCATCAGACATATCATCATCAGAGGATAAAATAGTGTTTTATCCTCTCATCCAGGTTGATACTGCATGATAGCAATACGTACTTTAAATAACACAGATACTGAAAATAAAGCAGAGTTATAATAGTTACGGGGGGGGGGGGGGGGGGGCAGCAAAA